AACTGAATGAAAAATACTCTAAATTCTCTTACCTACATTCTGAATAAAGATAAACCAGGCCAAGCCCAATAATCTGTGAAGTTCCTTAAATTATGAGCCCAAATTGCCCATTATAATACCCTCAATGACCAATTTAACCTCCTCTATTGAGAAATACCCAAATATGCCACTGTAGCCATTATATATTACCAAAGCAACGCAACAGTAAACCGCCGAGGCGCCGCCGACTTCGCCTTTCTCGTCCTCTGGCCTCCCTAACCCAACACAGACAGAGAGATACACAGATTCGTTGGGTCCTTATGGCGAAAGGGGATGATATAGTGAGGAGAAAGAAGAACAAAGCAAACAGAAAGAAGCAGAACAGGCAAAAAGACTCTTCCGCTGTATCTGCTCGAGTTGCTTCCATGATCGCCGCCAAGAAGCGCCGCAAGGCCGGTACTCGCCGCATGTGCCAGGTATTATAGCCTCAACGAAGTTGGTAATAGTGAATGACTTGTTTGATTGTTGTTCTTGGCTTTTTTGTATTGGGGTTTTATGCTTAGAATCGAAAATCGCTGTGTTATTTCGACGTAAAAGGTATTGAGAAATGAAAATCTTTAATTTCTGTGGTTGATGTGATGCCAGAACTCTTGTTATGTTGTATTTCTTTTTTATATTTTTCCTAATTACTCAAAATTTGATGATAATAAGACTTATTTATTCAATTTTATAATGTAAATTGTAGTTCATTCAAATTTCCATGTCGTTTTGCAGGGAATGTGTTTTAGCCTTCCTACTCCTGATGACCCCTTTAATGATTTTCATGGTAAGAATAACGTCAAAAGAAGCGAAATCAAGAAAAGTATGCCTTCAAAAGTGAATCAGAAGGTCTTAATGAAGGAGAAGAATGCTTTTCTGAAGAAAGGGTCAGTCCCAGGTGGTAACATGAAAGTAGATTCTTTGGAGAAAATGATAAGTGAGAAAGTAGTGAACTCAAATGAAGATCATGAAAAACTGATAGCATCTATTCATAATGTGGGGCAGACAGGGCATGCCAAGTCACAAATATCTGAGATTCAGCCAGATAGAAAGGTTGGCACCCAATCTCATGAAGAACAAACCTTTGAAAGTTCATATTGTCCATCGAAGTATCTTATGATGTGCTTGAAAGAAATAGAGAATGCATTGTGCCATGATGGTACCTACAATAGTGGGGAGGACAAGCCTTTATTTATCACAACATGGGGAGTTGAGTTCTGGAAATGTTATTCAGCTGGAATGGATGTTCTTGAGGCTAGTGGATCATCCTCTGATGTAGAGCAAATTGCATGGATAGCTTCTACAGCTGCTGATGCTATTGCTAGAAGAGAGAAAGAAGGCCTATTATTCACCAGCCCCTTTCTCTTATTCCTTGCACCATCAAAAGAAAAGGCTGTGAAGGTCCGTGCAGTGCTCACTTCTAGCTTTGTCAATGTTGGTTTGGTTTGTTAATAGCTTTCTTTTATAATTTTTTCTTTTCAGCCATTCTTAGTTGATTTTTTAGGACCCTAACTTTATTCTCTCATGGCATTCTTTAACATTCCATGGATTGGATTCCCATAATTTGATATAGAGTAATTTAAGTGACTGGCTGGAATCCCTTCATTTAATGATGTCACCATTTGTCAGAATAAAGGCAATGAAATTAGATAATATAAATAAAATTCTAGTATTGATACCATGGATGCTATTTTACTGGTGGTCAATATGTTAGTTCAGTGATTAAAAGATCACTTGATATGCTTATGCCTTAATAAGCTTATTTTAAGCCAATATCAGTCTTTCATTTAATCAATTTTATAACTTTTGCTCAGGTACGCTCAATTTGCAAGCCTTTGAAGGGTCTTGGAATACATACAGTGAGTTTACATCATGGTGCCTCCTTAGATCGCCAGATTAATGGGTAAAAATATACGCTAGATTGTTATTTCTTCTGTTACATATATGTTTGTAATTTTGTATTCTAGCAAAAGGCAGCATAGTTCTGAGGGTAGGTAACCTTGTTTGTGTTTGGGCCATTTTGTGTTTGTTCCCCATAGTCTCCTTTTTGTTACATTGTGCAAAACAATTAGCTTGGTGAGAAATTTGAATTTTTCTCTGGGAATTCTTGTATCTGGATTCTGGACAACCTCAAGGAGATTTGGTACAAACAAGGATGCAACCTTTCAAAAATTTTCTAATTAAGGATATAACCTTTTTTCTTTACTAATCAAGGTTATCACCTTTCAAAAGTTTCCAATTAAGGATATTACCTTTTCAATTTTTCTGAAAAAACATTAAGTGGATGTGCAAGGTCAAATCCTTAATTAGAAACTTTTGAAAGGTGGCAGCCTTGATTAGTAAAAAAAAGGTCATATCCTCAATTAGAAAATCTTTGAAAGGTTGTGTCCTTATTTGTACCAAATCTCCAACTTCAAGTGACTGTTGGAAAACTGGTGTATATGCTTTATTAGATTTTGGCCAAAAAACATGTTATCAGACAATGCTGATACTATATTTTGGGAATGAGTAGCTAATGGTGCGAGACTAATTTACCTGTTATCTGTATTATGATAAAGAGAGGAGAAACGGAAACTTGTATGTTTGTATCATGTTGTCTCTCCTTTGCTTCATGCATATGTTTGTGTTAGTTTTTGTGCATGTATTTACTTGCTTGTCTCTGAATGTCCTATGATTGCTATACTTTTAGTTTTTACTTTCATTCATATGCATGCATCTGGATTTTAATTGCTACCTTAAGAAGACATGCTGCATATGTTAGCTTCCCATTCAGATGATTTGATCAAGTTTTAACTTTCATTCTTGCTTAATACAAGTGGTTTTGTCTTGTAGTTTAAAGAGTTGTGAGCCTGAGTTTCTCATTTCCACCCCTGAGAGACTTTTAGAGCTACTTTCCCTAAAGGCTATTGATATATCTGGAGTCTCCTTGCTGGTAGGCCTATTGATACTATTATGTTTAACCATAATATTGGGTTTCAACAGCTCTTCTCATTTTTTATTTGGCTCATGAACAGGTCATTGATGGAATTGAGTCTCTTCTTGCATCTGGTTATCTTGATGCTATAAAATCCATTAGACAGGGTATTTCAGGAAAGCCACATACAGTTGTTTTCAATGATTGCTTCAAATATGCCACTATTCCTGCTGTAAGAAATCTTCTGATTGGATCAGTCTATAGATTATCTCTCAATGATTCTATCGCCAGTCAAAGTGCATGCATCATCCAGTCTATAGACGTGTGTGCCTCAAAGGAAGAGAAGACAGTAAAGGTATGTAAAGATATATTTTTGATTTACCATGTCTGAAATGTTGGTGGGTTTCCCTTTTTCTTTTTGGCCATCACTTGGTGTTTGCTTGTTAAATAAAACAAACAGTAGAGATTTCATTTTGTGCCTTTGTATTTACTAATTAAAACTTATATCTTCTAGTAATTTGTCTCTTCATTAACTGAAGCTTGAAATTAATAATTTTGCAGGGTATCTCTGCTCTAAATAATGTCTACAGTAATCAACCATTGCCTCAACCTTTGAAGGTGCTATATGTTGTTCAAAAGGATAGCAACATTCAGGAATTGGTAGTGGCCCTCAAGTTGAACGGATATTCTGTTTCAAGCAGCTCTTGCTTTGGTGTTGCTGAAGTCAAGGATAGGTAATTCTTGAAAAGCTCTAGTCATATTCTTATACCGCATAGGTATTTGGGGTTTAAGTTATAAACTTGTTGGCTTCAACCCCACCAAGGTCTTGTCTCTGTAGTTCTCTCAAGCTGATTCACTGTTCATAGTGCAGCTCATCACCTTTTAGTCTTTTAGTCTTAACTTACATAACAGCTAAAGAGGAAAACAAATTACGTAAAGATGATGTTATGTTGAGTCATTTAATATTTATGACTGAGAAAGTATACCGTATGAACTCACACAAATAAATTGTGAAATTGCTGTTGATTGCAAAGGAACATTAAGAAAATGATTTTTAGAGCATATGTACAGTAACTCAAACATACAGATTGCTACTTGAATTAGTTATCTGTCTGGAGTTTGCTGCTTGTTACCATATGTATTTATAACTTAAAACTGATAATTTGCACCTTCTTTTCCCCAGTCTGGATTCCAAGAGCAATATGGGACCTTCAGTTTCCCTGCTTGATTCAGAGCAAATCAATACTGCTGAGTTAGGAGAATACGGGGTTGTAATGATTCCAGATTTTGTTCTCTCAATTGACAATTATGTTCATATTCTCACAAGGATGGCACGCAACACTGTTGACGGCATATTGCATTGCTTTTTGACTAAAGATGACGCACCATATGCCCGTCCATTGGTTGAAATCCTTGAACAATGTGGGCAGGAGGTGCCTGAGGCCCTAAGAAACTTGTGTCTTGCCTAATCCGTGTTGGAAGGATCATGACGGGATAACTCATTCTCATTCCAAGTCCTCAGATCTCATTGCTGGAAAATGCTATGATCTTGACAACTGATCCTCAGCTTTTGCAACAGCTGGAATGATGGTATGCATTTGTAAATGAATACGCATGATGATTTTGATAGGAGAAAATTTTTGGGTGACTCACATTTACCAGAAGTGGAAATTTTTTAAGTTGCCCTTTTTTATTTTTTATTTGGGATGTCATTTTGCAATTTGCCCAATGTCCTCCTGTTTTGACTATTTCCAGTATTCTTTTTATGAGAAATCTAATAACTGTTAGCATTGCAAAGGAGAATCTAAGTTTTCCAGTACTTTCCAGCGTTCTTTTTTTTATTGTCTATCTTGTTTGGCAAAAACCCATGTTAAGCCCCTCAACTTTTTTGACAGCTAGGGATAAGCCCCTCAACTTTTTTGACAGCTAGGGATAAGCCCCTGAACTAAAAAGGTGGCAGATAAGCCCTCGAACCCCACGCAAGGAGCAAATTAGCCCCTCCACTAACTGAGCTTTGTCACTCCGTTAGTCCAATAGCTTGCGTGGCATTTGACATCCAATTGGCTCCAACGTGGCTCCAACATGGCTCCAATATGGCTTCTGTGGGTCAATTAAATACAAATCCATCGACCCCTCAAATTCCCGAAGGATTTGGGGATTTAGGGTTCTTCAAATTTCTCTCAATTCTCATACCATTCTCTTCCACTGATCTCTTCTAATTCTCTGATTCTCGATTCTCGATTCCCTGACTCTCCTTCTCAATGGACCCATCCATAACATTGAGATACCCAAAAGATTTGGGATTTTAGGGTTCTGAAAATTTCTCTCAAATCTCTTACCATTCTCTGCCTCCAATATCTTCTAGTTCTCCGTTTCTTTGTTTCTCTGGTTCTCTTTCTCAATCGTGAAGATGCCTCGATCTCAGTCCTCACAAGCCCAATCCTTTGCCTCTACACCGAAAAGCTCTACACCAAAAAGCTTTGCAAACAAAAAATCTGCACCCAAAAAGTCATTCGGGAGTTGCTTGGTGGTGACAGGGTTCTTTAAACCAGAATACAGGTATGAAGGTAGGACACGGTATTGTAATTATGGCACTGTTTCTCCAAGAATCACTGCATGGACTGAATTAAATGTAGGAAGGAGATTTTATGGTTGTCGATATTATGGGGTGAGTTAAGGGAAATTTTAATGTTTTTAGTTGATTGTATGTTTTTTCTTGTAATTTTAATGGATTGAATCAAATTCTAATGTTTAGGGAACGATGCTTTTTTTTTTTTTTTCCAATTACTATGTTTTTCAACAAGAGGAAGTGGAAACTTGTAATGCATTTGAGTGGCATGATGCTGAGATTGTGGGAAGAGCACATGATGTTATTTGGCACCTAAAATTGGAATATGAAAGTTTGCAATCTGATTTTGATGAGCTTAAAGAACACCAAAATGGTGGAAATGATGACATTGCCAAAGCTTTTGAGAAGCTGACTGCAAGGGTGATATCCATTGAGTCTGCCATTGAACAGATGAATAAATTTCAAAGGAAATTCTTTGTTGTGCTTTTGGGTTTGGTGGTTTTGTTTTTGTTTAGTAAATTGTGAATTGGCAGTAACTGCAGGAATATAGCATTTATTAGGTCGTTTTTGATCTTGTTTTCTAGCCAACTAGAAAATGGCTATGCTTGTATGATGGCCAAGAAGATAATGGCTATTTTTTTGTCTTAGATAATGCCATAAGTCATGTCTAATGTATATCTATCAAGTTAAAGGAAATGAAAATCTAACTTTCATAGCAATTGATGAGTTCCAAAGTGTACTTGATTAGTGACCAAAAAACATACAAATTCTAAGCTATCATCTACTGTGACTTAAATCCAAAGTTTACTGCTTTGGCAACCAAAAAATACTGCTGAATTGCAATGACGTGAGGAAGCTTAAGTCTCTTTCAGATGAAAATCAAAACCCTGTAGATTGGAAAGGGTTTGACTTTTTTCTGTTTTTCTTGTAAGTTTCCAGCTAGCATCTACAGTAACTGAATTCCAAAGTCTACTGCTGGTAACCAAAAAAATACACGTTTCCAGCCAACATCTACAGTTACTCCAGTGACTTAAATCCAAAGTTTACTGCTTTGGCAACCAAAAAAATACAAGTGTCCAGCCAGCATGTATAGTAACTGAATTCCAAAGTCTATTGCTGGTAACCAAAAAAAAAAAACAAGCTTTTAGCCAGCATCTACAATAACTGAATTCCAAAGTCTACTGCTTTAGTAACAAAAAAATTACAAGTTTCTAGCCAGCATCTACAGTAACTAAATTCCAAAGTCTACTGCTTTGGCAACCAAAAAAAATACAAGTTTTGAGCCAGCATCTACAGTGACTAATAATGGCTTAGTATACTGCCTTGGTAACCAAAAAATATACATAACATTTATAATTATAGTAAATTTCTACTTAAAAGGCAATCCAAAAGTTGTCTTCCTTGCTTAGACTCATGTCATCTCCTGAAGGAGGAACAACAAAAATGTTTCTTGAGTCTCCAAATTGGGCTGCACCTGAAGTTGTTGCTGGAATTGCATTGCATTAGTAGAAACTGCTTCATGAGAAACCCTTGGGACAATTGCAGTTGCACTTGTATCCTCTCTAATTCTCCACTCAGTAGGCTTTCCAAGCTATAAATGCAAATTTTTCAAGAAATTAAATTAATTTTTGCAACCAAATGAAATCAGTTTTTCTCACAAATTAAAAATAAAAAGAACAAAAACAAATGGATTTAATTAACTACTTTCCAATACTTACATCCAATATAATTTCACCAGTAACATCATTTCTGAAAATGCCAAACCCTTTTTCCTTTTTCTTTCCTTTTTGCTTTCCAACAGTGGTGACCTTGGCCTTACCTTTGTTCTTGATTTGAGATGACTGTGTTGTTGGTGTTGGTAATGGTAGATTTAAAGCAGCAACCTAAGTTTAAAAAGTTGTTCATGTTAGTTTAATGCAATAACACCTTAAAAAAATTTAAATGAAACTCACTTACATCTGTTATAGGGGTACTGTTAATTGAATTAACCATAGATGATTGCGAGATGTTCAGGGTTACAACTGCTGATCCCACATCATTCCTTCTCTTTTGTTCCCTACCCTATAATCACCAAGTTATTATATGCATGAAAATTTTGGTAAATTTAAAATGTATAAATAATTAAGTAATATTAGGAAATAGATTACAATTGATTTCTTCCTATGGTATGCAGCAGATGGTCGCTTTTTTCTTGTTTGACTTGAGGATGCAATGGCTGCAGGGGTCTACATAAAAAAAAAGGGGGGGGGTGATCTAATTAGATACTAAAGAGGTAAATGAGTAATAAGCAAACAAACAAATGAATAGAGAAAAAGAACCTCATTATTGGTTACAAACGAGCATCCTGATTTGTTATGTCCTTCTTGTTTATAATAAAAGCAAGTCATAATCCTTCCTCTCCTAGACATTTTAGAGTTGGACAGTTTTTTTGGCTCATCTTTTGCTTTTCTCCTATTTTTCTTAAGCCTTTCAGGTCTAGTTGTCATTGCAGGAGGATTAACAGGATCTCCATGGAATTTTTGCCAAGATTTATCACCACACATGGCCTTAATAGGAAAATTATATGATTGTAGATATTTACCCTTCCTATACCAGTCAACCACAAAATCTTCAGGATCTAGATTCTCATGAAACATGCAGCAAATAGCATGTGGGCAAGGAATTCCGTTCAGCTGCCATGCTCTACATGTACAAGTTCTTTTTCTACATGTACAAGTTCTTTTTTTGTAGATCTACGGCATGTCTATCATTCTTATGTTTAACTTCAAATCCAAAGGTTCCATCCCAAAGCAATCTGCATTCAAAGGATTCATTCTTATTCTTCCCTAACTTTGTCTTCACCCTTGGAGCAATGTCCCCTTTCCATTTATGAGAGGATGACATCTTCTCGGCAATCCTTTCCATCAATTGTTCCCTCATAGTGTCAACTAAACTAATAATGGCTTTGTACCTTGCTTCCATAATCCAAAAATTAAAAGACTCACACATGTCATTGTCCACGACATCACAGCAGGTATCCTCATAAAAAAAAGCCTTACACCAGTACATTGGAGGGATTCTTGCTAAATCTAACCATGCTTGCTCTGACAATTTTTTCAGCTCCTGCACTTGGTACTCAAATTCAGCTTGCCATGTAGCTCTTGCTATAGCCCAGAACCTCTTTTTATATTCTTCACCTTTATAAATTTTAGCCCAATTAGCATATATGTGTCGTGCACAAAATCGATGGCGTGCATTTGGAAAAACCGATTCCCTTGCCGCTATAATGCCCTACACAATAAAGTAATTTCATTCTCATTAATATAAAATAAATAAAACATATTATAATTATTTAACATACCTTATTTAAATCATATTACCTTGTGCATGTCTGAAATAATTGTTAAACCTACTCCATCTCCACATTCAATGTCTATCCTCAACAAATCCATGAACCACTCCCAGTTTTCCCTATTTTCTATGTCAACAATAGCCCATGCCAATGGGAACATTTGATTGTTCCCATCTCTCCCAACAGTTGTTAATAATATGCCTTTACAAACTCCTTTCAAGAAACAACCATCTACACCAATAATGCGTCTGCAGCCAGCTTTCCATCCCCTCTTACATCCATCAAAACACATATACATCCTTTTAAATTGGTACAATGTTGAGCCATCAGTGTCTGTTCCAATAACACATGTGGAGCCAGGATTAGTAACCAGCATATGTTCCCCATAACGTCTAAGAAGCTTGTATTGCTCGATATAACAACCTACTAACTCATTCTTAATAAATCTTTTAGCTCTTTGACATTTATACTTTGAAACCTCTACCTTCAATTCTGCTTTCACATGTTCAGCAAGTTGCCTACTGTTCATATGGGGGGAGTTAGTAACAAGTGTTCTCAATGCATCGACCAAGAAGCTCTCGGTTGCCATTTTGTTTTTGTTTGATTTAAAACATGAATGTTTTCCTTTATAAGTTTTCACCTTGAATGTATCATCTGAATTGTCGAAACTAGCAAAAATTTCCCATGAACAACCATTTTTCACATCACATGCAATCCTTTGCCTCCCTGGCTCATTCTTTTTCCAGTGCAGTTTGCATCCCTTCTTAATTGAGTACTTAGCAATGGCTGCCTTAAATTGCACTGCATTTTCAAACACCATTCCAACCTCAAAATGTGGAGAATCAAAGTTTGGGTCATAATGCAAGCTACTAGATGGTCTCCTTAAAGCATCATCCTTGGCATTAGGGTCTTCAATGGAGCTATCACTGTAGAACCTACCAAGGTCTGAACTGTCAATATAGGTACTGCTACTACATGAACTATTGGTCTCATCATCTTCAAAGTTTGAGTTGTCAACTAGTCGAAGGCCATTTTCATCAACACTGTTAAGTTCACTGATTCTAATGCCTTTAGAAGTAGATGTTGATCCTACAACTCTATTCTTTGCTTTATGATTTTCCTTCGCCACCTTTTGCTTCCCTTTATCTTTTCTTTGTATTACATTCAAATTGCTAGGACCCTCATTTACACCCATCATCACAGCATGTTTACTAATCCCAACCAACAATTCTTCATCATCAGCATCACTACCTAATGCATTATCATCTAGCATTGTATTTCTAGTACCATCTCTACGAGAAAGCTTGGCATTTCTAACAACCAAGTCTCCATCAATAGCAGCAAGATAATGCTCAACAAAAACATGGCACACGGTTGATTGGATTAATATTTCAGCTATCTCAATTATTTCAGCATCGCCATTTAGAGAATGAAACCCTTGTACCATAGACTCAGCCAAGGACAAATTAAAAATTCTGTAATATAGTGCCTTGAATGACCCATAACCTAATTCTCCAAGCTTGTCTACAATATCCCAATAACAAAGCTTGTCAATATCCCAAACAGGAAGATCATATGTTTCCCCACCAGTGTAACGAGAATGATTTGTATCAAATGGACTGTCAAAATGTATACAAATCTTAAAAGGTGGATCATTAGACATTGCTGTGAAAACAAAAAACCACGACTCTAATCAAATTCTTTAACAAATTACTAGATATATGATATAAAATAAGGATAAATTAATCTAAAAACAGTAAAATTAGACCACGGAGAAAGTCATTGAAAACCACCCAAATCCTAATCTAAATCCTAAATTCTAATGCTTACTACTAGAAGAGCACTGTTATTACTTATCAAAATAAATTGTGTTCACCATAATTTAATAAGACCCACTGAACCCAAATCTCAATAATTAAATATATAATAACAATTAAAGATATATACTATGAGGCCTGAGATTGTTCTTGTTATTATTATTATTATTTATGTCTTTCCAATTAAGTAATGACATATTAATGCTTGCAATTTTCATATTTTTGTGTAATTCTCCATGCTTAAAGCTTTCAAACTGTAACATTGCCATCTTGTTTCGACTTATGCAGTGCATGTGCCTTATCCTTATTCTTTCTTGTTAAGCCAAGAATGTACTTGTGCCATTATCATCATTTTGAAGCATTTAAGTTTCATGATGGAACAGCTTTATTGTCAAAACATGTGCTGAAATCTAATTTCCATTATCGGTGAACATCAGTATTTCAAACTACTATCCTAATCTAAATCCTAAATCCTAATGCTTACTAATAGAAGAGCATTGTTATTACTTATCAAAATAAATTGTGTTTACCATAATTTAATGAGACCCACTTAACCCAAACTTCAATAATTAAATATATAATAACAATTAAAGAATGAACAAAGAAATCACTACAAAACCCATGTGAACAACACTTCAATCATCAGTAATGGCTGTTACCTACCTGTAAAGGACGAAAGCAACTTGAGATTGTTGAAGATTCTCAAATCTGGTCCTTGTGGTCCCTTCTTTGTCTGAAAAGGCCAAAAAAATGTTTGCCTTCTTCGATGGTGAGCAGATGAAAATCTAACTTTTCCTTCCTCTTTTTTATTCTTTATGTCATAAATTTGCTAAAAGTTATTTGTTTAGGTGAGATGATTCCCGCCCGTGCCACATTGGAGCCACGTTGGAGCCAATTGGATGTCAAATGCCATGCAAGCTATTGGACTAACGGAGTGACAGAGCTCAGTTAGTGGAGGGGCTAATTTGCTCCTTGCGTGGGGTTCGAGGGCTTATCTGCCACCTTTTTAGTTCAGGGGCTTATCACTAGCTGTCAAAAAAGTTGAGGGACTTAACATGGGTTTTCGCCATCTTGTTTCTTTGTCTTTCCAATTACACGCAATACGGTTTTAATGCAATACCTCTTATTTTTACGTGGAAAAACACACATTTGTGCCACTGAAGTCTTTTAACTCGCATATACTTTATTTTTAAATAAATATTATAGATTAATTATTCTTTTAAATCAAACATGACTTTGAAAGTATAAAATAAGTTGGAAGACATTACTTAATTCACAAAATTTTCAATTTTAAAGTATAAAATATTAATAATATTAATTGATATAGCTTTTCATTTTGGCCATTGGTCTAGAGGATGCTTTAGAAGTACATGGAAGCTTTTCAACAAACGATCATGAGGTTTTGACTGGTATGTCTCTAAGCAAGATGACAAAATGTTTGGTGTTGGTTCTAAAACTCAAAATGACCCCTAAACAAAAATGATGTTCTAGCAGCCATGAATATTCATCCTCATGCCTCCTAATAAAGAATTGGAGAAGTGGGTTTGGATGTGATGCTCTCCAATTTCTGACCATTTTATGTCGACTTCTTGATGTGTCAATTACTTCTCTTTCTAAAATTCAGCTTTCATTTTTCTTGCTTTGAGATAGACCCCATACCTCTTTTCCCATCTTACACTTTTCAATCGAACTCATTTCCCAAAATGGATAGGAGTTACTTAAATCTTGAGATAGGTTAAAGAAATTTTGTTTAAAAAAATGTGCATTTTAATTTGGACTATGACCCCCCAAAAAAAAAAAGGAGTAGTTCAGATTATGAATTTACAATTTACTCTTAGTAAAAGTTTATTAATGAAATTTTTTTATTTAATTTATTAATGATATTTTAATAATTTTAATATGTAATGTAAGATTGAAAAATACTAAACTTATTTTTTTAAAAAAAATTATTTTTTACAATATAATTTGTCATAAAATATACTAAAAAATAATTAAAAAAGAATATTCTGGAATTGTTCAGTCAATGGTCTATCCAACTAGAGGTAGTCCTCTCAATAAGTTAACATGCATCTTTCTTCAAAACTTGACCATCAGATCAAATCATGGTATTAATCAGTGGTACTTTATGAGGACCCTAATGAATTACCAATGCTAGCTGTCCATGTTTCATGAATACGAAGTAATATTTTCTCTTTTAAATGTTGGGATGGAAATCATGATTCTTAAATCATTAACAAGTTCTTTAATATATTTGCACCAAAGTGAGAATCTGATACCATTATATTATATAACAATAAAATAAAATAAAATAAAAATTTCAATCATCAAAACAATGACTATTTATTTATCATTTAGAGATTTAAATTCAATCCTTGAATTAGCCTAAAATACTATAAAGCAATTTGGTATTCCCATCAAAGAAAACAATTAATATGATTTTTGTATCATTTTGTTCTCATGCTAACAACTAGTTACTTAATATATCATATATAAAAACACCTTTGCCCTCCAAAAGGCAATAGGTATCTCATTTCTTTAAATTTTTTTAAAAAGTAATATAATCATAATATTATAAATTTATAATTATTATACATAATTATATAATTAATTATTTTTATTTAAAATTTTATTAATAATATTTATTTATTTATTTATTTAATAATACGTTATAATTATTAACTTAAAACCCTGCTTAAAAATTTATGTGGTTTTTTCTCTGACGGCTTATGGTATACCACTAAGAACGAGCCAAAATAACAATCTTTTCCCACACTCCTTCCTAATGGTTACACAAAAAGGAAAAAGGAAAAGTAAATAGCTACTCACATTTGGGAATATCTCAAAATACTACGAGATGCATTTAATACTGCTACCATGTCATTACCAGAAATAGTAATGTGAAACATTGACATCTAAACTAGTTTTAAAGTTTGTTTCACACATCAAAATAGATATGATCAAAGAAGAAGAAATTTTAATTAAAAATGAAGAATGTTGATGCCCTCAACTGGTTTAAAATACTACTTTGATCGTTTGTACCAAACAAATAAAATAAATGCGAAAGAAAAAAAGCTTAATAAAATAATATGTTGTTACACAATTTTATCTAAGGAAAAAATTTTATAATAGTTCCTTTAAAATATATAATAATATTTTTCATGGAAAGCTAGTTTGAGGATAATGAAAAGATCAACTTAATTAATTTAATGGGATGAAAAATTTACACTTTTTTATATTTCTCTCAAACTAAATAAATTTTGTTGGTTTCTTAAAAAAAAAAAAAGGAAAAATAGACTTATTGGTTTTGTCTTTTTGTGGTTTTTTTTTTTAATGGTAAATAACCTTTGCTTGTTTTTGATCCGCTGTCTTTGTCCCTTTGACCAATATGACATAAGCTTATGTTTTTTCATTTATATAAAACCAACATCACATTTTATTCCCTGCATCAATATACTCTAATCCTCTCTCTTCTTAATTTGAAGAAGCTTTATTTTTGGTTTTGCCTTTTTCTTTTTATTTTTCCGTTTGTTTCTCAGGAAAGATTTGTGAATTATGATGAGATATATGGTGACTGGTGAGTTACTTTGCTTCAGAAACTCGGTGCTTTTGATGATACGGTAACTGACACACAGTAGTCGAGGTCAGCAGCCAGCCCTTTCCCACATATATTTTGCCCATTCGTAACTCACAAGCAAAAATCACAGCTCTCGGACAAGTGAACAATACGTGTTCTTTTCGCAAAGCCAATCAACCCATCCCCTCTATATATATAGACTGCACTCACTTAACAATAAAAACGCACCAGCGATCCTCAGAACTAAAGAAAAAGCAGAGAAATGGAGAGGTCATCCGCAACATTAATTCCAGCTGATGAGTTTCGCAGTGTTCAGGATGATATTACAGGCCAGGTTGAGCTAATTTGGCAGCAGACCAAGGCACCATTTATCGTGCCACTTTTGAAGGTCATGGTGTTTCTGTGCCTGATAATGTCAATAATGCTCTTCGTGGAGAGGGTGTATATGGGCATTGTTATCCTCTTTGTTAAGTTATTTGGGAAGAAACTTGAGAAGAGGTATAGGTGGGAACCCATTAAAGATGATGTTGAGCTAGGCAATTCAGCTTACCCCATGGTCCTAGTGCAAATCCCCATGTACAATGAAAAAGAGGTACATAATTAAGGACAATATGTCTTCTGTATGTAATGTGTGAAGTGAAGTTTGCAGGATTTGGTTGATATTTAGATATGTTTTACTGTTGTATTTTTGTTGGCCCTCTGTTTACTGTTGTATTGGACGCAGGTTTATCAGCTATCAATTGGAGCTGCATGTGGACTTTCATGGCCTTCTGATCGGATCATAATTCAAGTTCTAGATGATTCCACTGATCCATCCATTAAGGTTTAAACCCATTTCATAAAGATTAATAGAATTAGACACCCAGTTAGGATATCTAAGTTTCTGTTTCGGATTTATGGCGTTGTTGCAGGCTTTGGTGGAAGCAGAATGTCAGAGATGGGCAAGCAAAGGTGTAAATGTAAAGTATGAGGTAAGGGACAACAGGAAAGGTTACAAGGCCGGTGCTTTAAAGGAAGGCATGAAACATTACTATGTCAAACAGTGTGACTATGTCGTTATTTTCGACGCTGATTTCCAGCCTGAACCTGATTTCCTCTGGCGCACCGTCCCCTTCCTTATCCACAACCCTGAAATTGCCCTGGTTCAAGCACGCTGGAAATTTGGTAATCTTACATTCTCTTGGTTCAATATTTGTCGGCTCCATCATTTAAAACAATGCATGATGTTGATATATTAAACAACATGGAAGTCGCATCTGGTCCCTATTTGTTTTAAGATTCAAACTTAGAACTCGAACATGAAAGCAACTTTTAACATTTGAATATTTATAAAATTTGGCGTAGTAATGGTGATTTTCGGATTGTATTGCAGTGAATGCTGATGAATGCTTGATGACAAGGATGCAAGAGATGTCATTAGATTATCATTTCATAGTGGAGCAAGAAGTTGGGTCTTCCACCTATGGCTTCTTCGGTTTCAATGGTAAAGTATTAATCTTGTTAAGAATTATTCAGCATTCTATGCAGCACACATATGCCTATGGATGAAACTGGATCACATGATACAGGCACAGCTGGTGTTTGGAGAATTTCCGCACTTAATGAGGCCGGCGGATGGAAGGACAGAACAACCGTGGAGGACATGGATTTGGCTGTCCGAGCCAGTCTTAAAGGCTGGAAATTCGTCTATGTGGGCAACCTCAAGGTGAAAAATGAATTGCCAAGTACTTTCAAAGCGTACAGATATCAACAGCATAGATGGTCCTGTGGCCCTGCTAATCTCTTCAGGAAATTGGCAATGGAGATAGTAAGAAACAAGGTAGTTTACTTTCAAAGCGGATCGAAAACTTTTATCTAGTGGAAGACAATCTTAACAGCAGTTAATTTCCTTATGCTTTTTCTGGCAGAAAGTCTCCTTGTGGAAGAAATTGTATGTGATTTACAGCTTCTTCTTTGTCCGGAAGATTGTGGCTCACATTGTCACCTTCACCTTCTACTGTGTTGTTTTACCTGCGACTGTTTTGGTTCCTGAAGTTGTAGTACCCAAGTGGGGAGCCGTTTACATTCCTTCCATAATTACTCTTCTCAATGCTGTTGGAACCCCAAGGTTAATTTCTCCTCTCAAACTCAAACTCCCTGCGTTACCTAATTCTCAAACCTTTGGAATAGCTGAGCATACTAACTTTATATAACTCTATGTTTCAGGTCAATACACCTACTCGTTTTTTGGATTCTTTTCGAAAATGTTATGTCTCTACATAGAACAAAGGGGACATTTATAGGCCTGCTTGAGGCAGGGAGAGTGAATGAATGGGTTGTAACTGAGAAATTGGGAGATGCTCTCAAGACAAAATTAGGAGGAAAAACTCTCAAGAAACCCAGAATTCGACTTGGTGAAAGGTATAATTTTTACCAACACCCATCAAAAGATAGACGTAAGACTTAACCTTTATACTGAATCTAAGATGAAATTTTACTGTTTTCATGTGAACAACAGGCTTCATGTGCTAGAGCTTGGTGTTGGGGCATACCTCTTCTTCTGTGGATGCTATGATCTTGCCTTTGGAAAGAACCACTATTTCATTTACCTTTTCCTCCAATCCATTGCTTTCTTTGTTGCCGGCATTGGCTATGTTGGCACCTTTGTTCCCAATTCTTAGGGACAACTGGAGTCTCGTCAGTCCATATCCTGCACTACATTTCAAAGCGTTAGAGTTGCAGAAATGTAACTGAAAATGCTGTTCAAAGTTCATTCTTTCTCAATTCTTGCCAAAGCATAAGCTTTCCTCTTGTAAAAGCATGGATAATGTCAAAGATAATGACAGTAATGAAAAGAGTAGATTGCATTTTTTTTTTTTTTCTTCACACATTAGAAAATTAACTATTTGGTATATATAGCAGAAATGGTTTCACAAAACAGAATACTCTTAAAGGAATGCTGGCTATGGGGTTCGAACCCATGCGCACTTATGTGCAGAAGATCTTAAGTCTTCCCCCTTAACCTCTCGGGCAAACCAGCTAGTGTGTTGCAGCTTTTATAAATTAAACATCCTCTATAAACACCAACCTTACATCTTCTATATTTCTAATCACAATGGGCTGAGGTTCATGATTAAGTGGCAAGGAATTTTTTAAGGACCCAATAAGTTTATTGAGCTTGGGCCTATATGTTCATACCCATGAAAGTTATGAGTGTATTCGGCCCAGGCCCCTCTCCTATTGCCCTTTTGTTCTTCCTTTTATCCTTCCCACACTACTGTTCTCTCTCGGTCTCTCTTTTACAGCAAAAAAAAAAGTTGGTGAAAATGTGAAATTGAAAAAGGAATTTCATTTTAAATAAGAGAAAGTTTTAAAATGTATTGTCATTAAAAATATTATGATATTTAATTATAATTATTAAATATATAAGATATAATATAAATATTAATTTTATTAAATTTATTATATAATTATTATTAAATATTTTAATATTAAAAGTGATAAAACGCCTTACTTTTTTTTTTTAATATCTAACTTTATAATAATATATATACATATATATATATTGTTTAAAGGGAGAGAGAGAGAGGAAGGAAAAAGGAGAGTAAAGGTGCAAAATGTCCATTGATGCACAAATCTGATGGGCTGAGAAGTCATTTTCTGAGTACAGTCAGTTCATTTATCTCTTTCGTCTTTTATTACACTGGACGACAAAGTACGGAACAAAGGATTCCTCGAAAAAAAAGAGTACGGACAAAGAATTGGTCAAAAACTTTGGACTTGTAGAGTGCAAGATTGGCAATTCCATAATTGTGGAGGGGGATTGTGAATACCTAAAATACATCTGCTTACAAAGTACATTTTTTTTTTAATATAAATTTAAAATTTTGTTAAAAAATATTAAAAATTCATTTTTAAAAATTCATTTAATTATATTTGAATAAAATTTTAATTTATAGTTTTTTTTAAAAAAAATTGCTCAAATACCATTTTAAAAGTAAATTTTTTAATTTTTCTCTAACAAACTTTTAAATTTATGAAAAAATAATTTATTTTTTAAGTTTTATTAAACACTTTTATAATGCTGTATATCATTATAAACTTACAATTATAATATGTCAATTAAAATATTTTATTTCCAAACAAAAAAAGAGATTACTAATCAAGTTAGGTTGTTAGTGAATTTTAAGTTAATTATGTATTATTAATTTGAACTCTAAGATATCGACATATTTAAGCACACATTATTTCTTCAAATGAAAATTTTATTTTAGCATTTTCTCTTCACAGGCAAGTTTGATATGCCACATGAAATTTGAACTAACAACATGGATTTAACAAAACTCTATGAATAATAGAATAGTACAGGATTAATAAATTTAAGAGGAGGAAGCTTTCCTCTTTACAATTTTATTTGAATTTAAATGTGTCCAATTTAATATTCTACCAAAAAAACTAATTTTATTAGTCTTTCCGTTCAAATTTAGTTAAATTAGTTTAACTTTTTGATTTTTAGAATATAGATTGCTTGGGAAATTTTAATATATTATATAAATGATGATTAAAAAAATTGATCAAATAAAAATAATAAAAAAGAAATATATAAGAAACAAATTAAGTATTATTTATATAGATTATTCAATTTTTATTTAAGTTTTATGTCTAAAAAATAAAACTAAATAAATAAAATTACTAAATTTAAATGAGAGAATATGTTTCAATTTCAACGTATTTTTCATTTTCTTGGGAAGTTAGCAAAAATTAATTCTTATTTAAAGCATCTATATAAATTGTTAGGTGGCAGGAATGGAAGAAAAAGAAATTGGAGGGGACCAATCTATTTAGTAAATTTTTGCCGTACATGACGATTTAAATAATTTAATAATAATTTATTTTTCAATCAATGCAATAAATATTAAGTTTTAATAGCATACATTTACAAGTAAAATGAGTAATAAAACAAAAAATAATTATATTCTATAATATAATTTTAAAGAAAAGTTTATCCCATCATCAAATGATATGAAAAGGCTTTAATATTGTTATGTCCAATTATATAAGAGAAAATATAGTGTGTGTTTTTTTTATAAAAAATTTTATTTTATTTTATTTTGAATTAAAATGAAAAATAACTTTTTTTTTATCTCATAACTCATCTTACTCATAAATTATATTACTTGAATTTAATTTTTTTTTATTTTTATTAAAAAGAAATTATTAATAAACTAACTAAACTATTAACTTTTACATAAAAAAATTAACCATTTTGACATTATAAAAAATTTAAACTTTAAATCTAAAATATTAACTCTTAAATTAAATTTTTTAAATTAATAAATACCAATTTAATAAAATCCTTGTCGGTAAAAAAATTATGGTTTAAAAATAAGTGAACGAAATGGAGTGGTTCTCATCCTTACATTTTTCTAGTGTCGTAGATTTACGTACATGGTAGCACTAAAAGCTAGTAGGTGCCAAACACTAGTGTAATTGGACAAAAGAATTAGGACCAATACTTTTTTTTATCAGGACCAAAGGTACCCTTTTGTAGGACCATTGCCCCTCTTTTAGTGGCAGCTCTTTAGTATTTGTACGGAATTTTAAAAAGTAGTACGGTAGCAACAGCTTTTAGTATTTGTAGTTGGCGTGAAAAAAAGAATTTATTATTATATAAAATTTATATATTATATTTATATAAAATTTTAATTAATTTTTTTAATAATTAAATTTTATTATAATTTTTTTATATAAAATACAATTAATTTTAATAAATTTAAATTATTAAAAGTGAAAAAATAAATACTTTAAAATTTTATATATTATAAATCTCTTATATATATTGATAAATTTTGTGGTTGGTATATTACTAAATCTGATAAGCAGATAAATCCTTGAACCTTACCACTATTTGCCCAAAAGTACGTATTTGTAACTTTTTTACGTTTGCGACTTTTCGTTGGTGATAGAGTTTGGAGACTTATTTTTCTATTACAATTTATTCCTTTTTTTTTATTTAAGACTAATTAGACGTAATCTAGCAATACTAATCTATAGTTGTAATTACAAGTTTTTTTATTTTTTAATGTTTTAAAAATATATAAAATATTACTTAAAATAAATTATATTTTATATATTTTTAAAATGATAAAATAACATAAAATTTAAAAAATATTGTCAAATAAAACCTTATTTGACGGCTTCTTTACATAAATGCATTTTCCAATTGGATTGAAAATGTCTTTTGTATCATTAATGAAGCATACAATGACAATATTGACGTTTTATTAAGGATAAAAATAACATTTTAAATTTAGACAAGCAAAAAAATTTTGAGTCTAAACTACTAAATTGTATACTTGATATTTTTTTAATAAAAAAATCCAATAAAAGAGGGAAATTTTAGTTATTAATTCAAGAGAATTAGATGAAAACAGGATTTAAATGATCAAATTAAAAAGTATTGAGGCAAAACTTTAAAAATAAATAAAGAAATATAACTTACTATCAATAATAAAACTATTAAATTAAATATATTATTTATCTATTAAATAGGATCCATCAAATATTTCATCCATGCAACGTGAATCAAGCGATATGTTACGTAAATCATGTACCCTTTTATAGGCACTACAATTTCTTTTGCTACATGCAGTCATGCACCTTTTCCATTTTTTAAAATAATATTTATCCTTTTAATTTTCATTGTGGGCGCCCCCTCGTTATTCCCCGCACAAATTCTTATGCCAACGAAACATTAAAATCTGCAATTTTCAGATGAATCACGTGTCAGGTCATGCAGCAGCCCCTCAGAAACCACGCGGTTCCACGCACTCATATCATATATCATGTCAAGCCTTGAAATTACTCTATTAACCCTATTTAGGTTTATTATCCCACAATAAACTGGATTAATTATTCAAAAAATTCATAAAAATTGGATAGGATTTACTGTCTTCTCTTTTGGGTTCAAAATTACTTAATTAAAAGATATTATATCTTAAATTGTAAGTTTTATTTTAAGGAAAGAAGAGAAATAAGAATTTTAATATACATAATTAAGTTATTAAGGTGCTATAATTTTCCAAAGGGTACTCATTTTTTATAAATTGACATGTATAGCCGTACTACTTATCCTATATTTATTTTAATTTTAATTTTAATTTTATAATAAAAATAAATTCTGAATTTATTCTCCACTTTAGTAAAAGAAAATTTTTTGAAAATATTAAGTTCATTCATCAGAGATGTGGTAGGAGTTTTTATAGACATTGGATTATACAAGTTAGGAGAATTTTTTTGAATCATTACAATTATTTTTATATGTCTAATCAAAATTATACATGTATAAATGTATTTTGTTGTTGGATTAAAATTATACATATTATACACGTGTCATCTAATAATTTGATCAAAATTGTATTTGTAGTACATACATTGGATCATTTGATACACATTACTATCATAATTATTATTGATATTTCTGATAAAAGGTATAATTATTCTTTTCTTGTAAAAAGTAAATTAAGTATTGTCTAATATTCAACAAGGAAGGGGTAACGCCCCATTCTAGAGTTTTTTTTTTTTTTCTTTTGGAAAAGAAACAATGTTGCAATAGCGGTTAAGTCTTTGGGTAGTATATGAAACCAGCGCTCCTAAACCTAGCTAGTGAAGCATGCACCATGTCAACTCAACTGCAAGTTCAGGTACATATAATTTATGGCTAACCCTTAATATTTAGTGCCAAATTAGTACTTCTCATTTATCAAATCATTAATATGAAATTTGAAAATAGTTTTTTTATTTTTATTATACGTTGAAAAAATATTTTTAATCTTTGTAATTATAACGAAGTGTCTGATCAAAATTATTTATAAAATATGTGTCCAATCATATAATTAAAATTTTGTATATAACACACATTTGATTATCTAACTAAAATCATGTAGATAATGAACACCTTCGACCTATTTAGTCGAAGCTAAAGTTTCTATGCATATAATACATTAATTGCAGTTATAGTTGATCTCAATATTTTTTTCTCTTCTTGTTCATCAAAAAACATATAGTTTTCTTCTCTGGTTAAATAAAATTAAGCATTGACAATTAATGTCAAATTTGTACTTTCACCAAATTCTTCCCTTCTCTTCAAGACAAGTAGGCAAAGGTTCTAAAGTTTGGCTAATCAAGGCTTGCCCAAACAGAGGAAAGGAGCGTTGGGAAAGAAAAGACAAAGGAAAAAAATGGAGAAAAATAGAGAACCCATAAAGGGGTGTGGCAGTAACAAACAAGAGGTGCCCAAACTGGTAATAAATTTTATTTGAAGAAATATCCTCCTGAATTTGATTTCTTCTCCTCTTTCTCTTCCTATTTACTCTCTTTCCTTCTCTCTTGTTCTTCCAGCCAACCATGGATACTTGCTGCTATTTTCTGGCATTGACTCGTCTGTGAAGGCTGAGCTGACTCAGTACCAGATCGGGGAGCTGAGTTCCCCATGAGTAATTTTTCTCCCCAAACTTTTATTTCTTTCTCCTTTACTTGATCCATGCACATTTGGTTAAGCATTCACTGGTTGTGCGTTTCAGAGGCAGAATCCTGGAAGATTTTCCAACATTTAAACCATAATTTTTTCAATCAATTCTTTCAGATTCTGTTATCTTATTTGCAGAAAAATTAGACCCTTTTTGCTTCTGTGTTCTGGTTTTCCACTCATGTTTTAATTTATTTTCCAGAACTGAAAAATAAATTAGCTGGCATTTTCTGTTGAAAAATATCTGGGAAAGGAAGATGCTGTTCTTTGTCACTTTTCTACCTGAGACAAGTTTTCTGCTTTCTTTTTCCCAGTTGGGTTTCTGTGTTAATGGCATGTTAGGTGTGTGTGAATTGCATTTTGTTATTTTGGAAAATAGGTTTAAGTGATGGGATAAGATGGTCAGGGGAAATACCAGAATTTTGGCGAATTGAAGCAGAATTCTACAGTGCATGGATTCAAGGATGAACTCTGGGGAGGGATTTGCAACTCCACAGGACAAAAAGTTCCCTTTTATGGCTTCTTGGGTGCCAGTAAACCCAGAGAAGCATGTCTCAACATCAGGTCCGATCCCGGCTGTCCATAGCAGCCAACTCGGTGGAGCAGTTTGGCCTCAACTGGGTGGATATCCCATGGGACAATTTCAGAATTTACTGAATTACAACATGGTGCTTCCAATCTACAATCCAAATGGACTGGGGGGTCCCAGTGGGGTGCACTGTAGTAGCAGTTCCTGTGTGGCTGAGAGGAGCAGAATGATCAACAACATTGCAGGATCCTACACACAGGCCCTTCACAACTTGGGTGCTGGATGTTGCTGTCATCCATGGGCAAACCATGCAGCGGCTTGTGCCTCAGCAACCAGAAATGCTATGGCAAATGGTCCGCTGACTCCAAATTTGCATTCTCAAGCTAACAACTGGAGACCGTCCAACTATGGAAATCAGGTGCTTGGGAACCAAACTCACGTTGGTAATAATACTATGGCGTTTCCTTACCCAACTCACCACACAGGTATGCATTCTCTGAGGAATGATGTCATCCACCAGCAGATGCCCCAGGATTAGTTAAACCTGTCTCATGCAAACTCATGCAATTGAGATTTTGCTTGAAAATATTCCTATATTACATCAGTTTAATAAATATAGAAAATGCAGAATCACATTATGCCGTATTTAGCATGCGGTTGATGCAGAATTCATGATAAAGGATATCTTGTATATATTGTTATTTTTCAATTAGCATTTCATGCTGAACCTAGAACTGGGATTGTTTGCATGGAATTAGGATTTACGTTAACTTATCATTTTCAATGTAGTGGCTAAATTGTTAGGTAATTTTCTAGCATCCTTAGTTTTACAAAATTTTTTCATTTTAGACATCTGTTTATCTGTTTCCCCCTTTGGATATCCCATTGACATTCTATATTGAAAGGAAACTGGGATTAGAAGATGAATTGAATTCTACTTAGATTCTAAAAACATGCTCTAGGCATAGTCTCACTAATTGCAATATAGGAACAAAATATTCATTTGAGATCTCAAAAAAATTAACCATTGGACTTACTTAATCCTAGCCAGTGGTCGTTAAAATACCAAATCAGAAAAAGCATGAAACTGTTCTAGTTAGCAATTTGGTTTGTCCTACCCACTAGTTAGTGCAACCTCTGCAGGAGATTTGATTTTATTGCAATTACATGTAAAACAAACTACTTATAGCATCAGTTAGATGAGTGTTGTGTTTATTAAGAAAAACAACACTTTTTTTTACAGATGGATATCCAGTGAATTCTAAGCCAATATACAATCTAAACTTACCACCAAGAACAGAAGCTAGTGCAGTCTGCAATTTGACCACCTCATTCGCCTGCACACCAGAAACACCAGATCTGTCTCAAAAGTTGGAGAATAAGCAGCTATCTTCATTACCAACTCCAACGAATGAAAGCTCAAGTTACAAAAAGAAAAAGCAGAAAAATTTAATGATATCCACAGGAAGTGAAGTTGTCCAGCAAAATTGTGATAAATTCTTACAGAACAATGTGGATCCATCATCTGCCTTCATTTCTACACCAACAAAGGAGAAAAGTGGCTCTGATAAGGGAAATGGACATGGCATTGATCTAAACAAGACACCCCAGCAAAAGCCACCCAAAAGAAGAAAATACAGGCCCAAAGCTGTCGTGGAAGGGAAACCCAAAAGGACCCCTAGAATGGAAACTCCTACACAAACCAGCTCCAGGGAGAACCCCAGTCGAAAGACAAGGTATGTACACAAGAAAGGATTGAAAGAATCAGCAATTGAACAGGACTCTACAAGAGAATCTGATCCTTTTGCTGGGAATACTGGAAAGAGGAATTACATATGCGGAAAAGGACTGACAGAATCACTAACTGAACAGGTAGATTCTATGAAGGAGTGTGATCCTGGTGTGGGAATTAATGGGAAAAGGAAGTATACTCAGAAGAATGGCCTAAAAGAATCAGTAACTGGACAGGGAAGTATGAAAGAGACTGATACGTGTGCTGGAGCTGCCACACAACCATGCAGAAGGATGCTGGATTTTGACTTGGAGAAGATTGGGAATGGCAGACAGGTTGAAGTAGGTAAAAAACCAGAGTTGCAGGAGGGATATAACATCTCTGATTCTCAAGGCACAGCATTCTGGAATGGAAAAGTTAGTGGGTCAGGAACCAAGTCAACTGTGCAGATCAGTCAACAGAATGGAATAGCAGAGGACAATGAGCAAAGCAGAACCATAAATAACCAAACCACTTCCTTGAATAAACTAATTCCAGTGAACCATGTAATTATGCCAGGAATGTTTGGAGCAACTGCCTCAGAAGAAAACCCACAAATGAGAAATCTAAACCCCATTGCAACAAATATAAATATGGGATTTGCAGATTCATGCCAAAAAGGTAGCAGAAATAAGAATTCTTCCATACAGCAAAACATCCCTCAACCAGTACCAACAAATTTGTCTAACTCTGATAAAGGTCGAGAATCCAAGGGAGAATACTGTCATGCTATGGAGCAGAGTAAACCCTCAACTCTAGGCCCAGTGGATTCACTATTCTGCCAAGAGATAATCCAAATGGATGATTGTCATAGAAATGGCAGCACACTGGGAGCAGATTGTCCAGAAGCTCACAAGAGAAAGAAAACTGACAATGAATCCCATAGTATGGCATCTTGTGAAAAACTGGTTAATGATGGCTCCAGACAAGCTCAAACGAGAAGCACATATAATGCAAATGCAGAAAAATTTACACTGCTAAGGAATTCTGAAACACTTGATCCGCATCTTGAAAGCAAAACAATGGCAAGGAGAAAAGATGGTGATGCTGATGCTGGCCAACCTACAAATGATAGGCATGTTCACTCCGCAGCTGCAAGGCAGACTTCCGCAAAGCAACACATTCCATCCGAATTGCACTCAGGCATAGAAAGAATGGCCGGGACCAACCAGTCGATTCAAGTCCACAACTTAGCTACAGCTGAGAATTATAACCATCCCCCACCAACTACTCCTGCAAAGGACTCCACACCACAAAAGTGGTTGGTTGTCGATACAAATAATGTTTTCCAAATAAAGGAGGGAAATATTTTGCAGAAGCAGGATACAAATCCCACCCTATCCCACTTAGCTTCATCTGCAACAGGAAGGTTGCTGCAAGAAAAGGAAGCTATGCATGATTATCCATTGTCATCCACAAAATCTACAGGTATACCTCTAGCAACTGTAGCATGTTAAAAAATGATTTATCAACCACAGCATCTCAAAATATTCTACACTTTTTACATTTAAAAGAAAATAAAAAAAATTCTACTCTTCATAATTATCTCAACTTTCTTGGGGAATGATGCAGGATCTGCAAGACAAGTCACTCTCGTTGATGATATGATAAACAAAATTAAGGGCCTTGATATGAATAGAGGGAGAAGTGAAATAGGGCAAGTGCAAAATGCACTTGTCCCATACAAAGGAGATGGCACCATGGTTCTTTATGAAGGATTTGATCTTATCAAGAAACGCAGACCACGGCCTAAAGTGGACCTTGATCCAGAGACAGATAGAGTATGGAAGTTGTTGATGGAGAAGGAGGGAGGTGATGATGTCGAAGGAACAGATAAGGAGAAGGAAAAATGGTGGGAGGAGGAAAGGAGGGTTTTTTCTGGACGAGCTGAATCATTCATTGCAAGAATGCATCTTATACAAGGTATGGTCCAGACTTTCATATTAGCACAGGCTCCTCAAGTTTTCTTTCTGATCTTGATATGCACTTATAATCATATGAAAATGAAGAAATAAAATCACTGGTGCATGACATGCATCCCTAATAAGAGTGACAGAATTAGCAAAAACAACAGAAGACCAGAACTAAAAGATTTCCTTGGTAACATCCATTGGAAAGAAATAATAAGATTTGGAAGAGTTTCATTCCATCCATTGAGAAAATCTTTCAAGCTAACATAGCATATTTTAACTCTAGATCTGACAGAGCCATGTTGAAGGTAAAACAACTTAGGAAACTCCTTAAAACAAAATTCTTTGTCAACTGGAGGAATGTCCTCAGACCCTGTTTAATTTTCCTTGCCCCCTTTTCCTTCCCTCTCTCTAAGTAGAATTTCTTATTTTTCTCTTGGTAATGAAAAGGGAAAGTACTCTAATTTATAGGGGGAAAAGGGAAAGTAAGAAGGTGAGGTCAGTTTTTTTTAACTATTATTAATTGAACACTCATCTAAGGTAGAAATGTATGATTCCTGACATTTCAAAGTAAAATCACCTGGCCTGTCCCCCTAGGTTCCTGTATCAGTAATCTATGCATTATTTTGTTGCTCTTATACATGGCTCAGAAATAACAAATTAAGTATTCAACATGTATAGAAAATTTCCATGTAAATTAGTACCTGGTGTGTAATCTCTACTAAGCCATGTCGAAAATCAGCTTAAATCACCAAAAATGCCAAAAATTTACAGGAGACAGGCGCTTCTCAAAATGGAAAGGATCTGTGGTGGATTCGGTTATAGGAGTTTTCCTTACTCAGAATGTATCAGACCACCTTTCAAGGTAAAGGTTTTTTGCAAAACTCCCAGAGAAAGTTCTCATAATTCTTAAGTACAACTGAGTAATCCTTTCCAACCATGCAGCTCTGCCTTCATGTCTCTAGCAGCAAGATTTCCTCTAAACTCAAAATGCAAAAGAACTAGTGACAGGGATGTGGCAAACATATTGGTTGCAGAACTCCAGATCTGTGAACCAAACCTGAATCCAAATGGCACTGTAAATTGGCAAGAAAGTCCATCCATTCATTCATTCAACAGCCAACTCTCTGAGATGACCAATCAGTCCACAGATTATCAGAAGGAAAGTGAGAATTCAGGTTTAGAAAGAGCAAGCTTAACAGACACACACAATCAGAGCTTGGATGAAGAAGTGCTATCATCACAAGGTTCTTATGATTGCTCAATCTTACAAATAAACGGAGGAATCAGGTCATATTCAGGTTCCAACTCTGAATCTGAAGATCCTGCCACTGGATACAAACTAAACAATGGTCATGTTTCAAATCTTCACCAGATAGGGAATGCTGCCTCATTTGAGGAATTTTACAATAGTATCAGTATGACTTCACTGTTTCATGAAGGATTAAAGCCTGCACAAAAGCAGACAGAAAATGGGCAGCTGAATTCAAGATTGGACAAAATGAATAAACTCAAGGGATCCTCAATATTTAATCAAGCAGACCATTTTAAAAATCAACAGATACAGGTTCCAGATGTTCCTTTGAATAATTATCAGCAGCACATGACTTCAGAATCTGAAGCAGTGAACTTGGACGAATGCAGGTCTTCCTGGGTTTCATATGCTTCTACATTAAATAAGCCAAAACAACTTGTAGAAGATGAAGGTAAAGCCATGATTCAGCAGAACAGACTTCCCAGACACCAAGATACAGGCTTGATGGGCAGATTATTAAGACAGCATGCAAAGTACCAACGAGAAGATTCTGAACCTGCATCTCATGATGCACTTCCAGGATGTCAAGAAACAAGCTGGATGGGCAGATTATTAAGACAGCACACAATGTATCAACGAGAAATTTCTGAACCTGCATCTCATACTAGAACTAGAAGCAGCCAACCCTGTAGCAATAACCAAGGAATTTGGAATAAGTCATTCCAAATGGAAGGTGTGTCAGTCCAAGGACCTCTAAATGATGATGCACCTGCTAAGAGCCAGAATAAAACAGTACAATATACTGCACATACCCAACTCACAGAGAGAACTTCAAACTTTGTGCATAATGCAATGAACGAGAAAAAGGGAATGGAAAATAAATTGGCTCATTCCCATTCAGAGGAGCCAACGAATTCTACCACCATGAGGTATGATGATGTGAAAAATAACATCTCAAAAGTGAAGAGAAGAAAGACTGAGGATGAGAAAAATGCATTTGATTGGGATAGTTTACGAAGGCAGGTTCAGGCAAACAGTGACAGAAAAGAAAGGACCACAGATACAATGGATTCATTGGACTATGAAGCTATGAGACAAGGTGATGTTAATGAGATCTCCAATGCCATCAAAGAGCGTGGAATGAACAATATGTTGGCAGAAAGAATTAAGGTACAGATCAATCTCTTCTCCCCAACCGCCCTCATATTAGCTAAAAGTTGCTTCAAGCTAGTATCACATTAAGATGTCTTTACAGTAGATTGAAAACATTGCAGGAATTCTTGAACCGATTGGTCAGGGAACATGGAAGCATCGATCTTGAATGGTTAAGAGATGTTCCCCCTGACAAAGCAAAGTAAGGATCTCAAAACATAATCTGTTCTTACATAGTACAACTCCTGCATCAAAACTTATGTTTTCATCTGAGGAGTTTATACTTTACAGTTAAAATATCATTTATGCTGCAGAGATTATCTATTAAGCATACGAGGATTGGGGTTGAAAAGTGTGGAGTGCGTCCGGCTTTTGACACTTCACCATGTTGCATTTCCGGTAAAGTTCACATGAAACTTAATGACAATTTCGGATTAAATAAGGTGAATGAAATGTCAGAATCAAAGCATTGCATATATATTTGTGAAGGTTGACACTAATGTTGGACGAATAGCTGTTAGGCTGGGATGGGTCCCCCTCCAACCTCTGCCTGAGTCACTTCAGTTACACCTCCTAGAACTGTAAGTATTATGCGTAACTATCAACTTTAAAAAAATTCACTCCCCCAAATAACTAATCAAGCTGCTTTTAGGTACCCGGTTCTGGAGTCAATTCAAAAATATCTTTGGCCAAGATTGTGCAAACTTGACCAGCGAACACTGTAATGTCATAATCCTCTTTAGGATTGTCCATTTACTGAACATTCTCCTACTATCCTACATTAAAACAGGAAAAAATGAAGTTAAAAGGCCTTGAAAAATATACTGACAGGTGTACCATTGTGATACAGGTATGAACTGCATTACCAAATGATTACATTCGGAAAGGTATGCCATTCCAATTTTTATTTGTAATAAAGCAGTCAAAAAGCAACGATGAGCTTGTTCTTATACAATTTTCATTTTTTGGGGGGGATGTCCATTTACACTATGCAGGTATTTTGCACAAAGAGTAAACCAAATTGCAATGCATGTCCACTGAGAGGAGAATGCAGACACTTTGCTAGTGCTTTTGCAAGGTTTGCATTCCACCCTATTTTCTGCTAGTTTATGCAGTCACTATAATGCAGGAAGATAGCTAAGACCAAGACAATCCAAGACAAATAAGAATCTAATACAATGCTACCCATGTATGCCCAACTCTTTAGTAGCTTATCTGGCATATAAGCCAACAATTTTATAGGAAGAAAGATAAAATAAATTGTTTTATTTTATTAGCCAAGATAAAGAATAGTCAATGCTATATGCGTCCAAAGCTTTATGCGTCCAAAGCATGCGTCTGTTGTCAACACCAAGAACTTGATATTCCACTGGAGAATAGATGAACCTTCGACAGTGCAAACTAACAAAAACAGAGCATACTTTTAAATCCTAGAAGAAACAGGTCATAGTATTAGACTATAGTAGAAGCAATTATCAGAACCACCTATATTCCATTGCTAAAGGAACAGGATATATGTTCATGCAATAAACTGAATGTTTCTTTCATGCAGTGCAAGGCTTGCGTTGCCAGGGCCAGAAGAGAAGAGCATAATAAGCCCAGGTGCTCCAATTATGGCTGAACCAAACCACCCAGGAGTATTCAACCCAATGCCACTACCTCCAGCAGAGAATGACTCACTTAGAGCATCGTCTAGTAATGTTAACTTTGAGCCTATCATTGAAGAACCAGCGACACCAGAACCTGTACATGCTGAAGTATCTCTAAGTGATATTGAAGATGCATTTTATGAGGATCCTGATGAAATTCCCACAATAAAATTAAATGTTGAAGAGTTTGCATCAAATTTACAGCAATACATGGAAGAAAATATGGAACTACAAGAAGGTGAAATCTCTAAGGCGTTAGTTGCTTTGAGTCCTGAGGCTGCTTCTATCCCTACACCCAAACTGAAGAATGTGAGTCGGCTACGAACGGAGCATCATGTGTAAGTGGAAATTTCCCATAACCATTTCCAATTACTGGATCATGATAGAAGTCATGCATAAAAGGGTAGCCGGGTCCTAGTTTACAATATAGAAAATCTCTTAGACCTCCAGCTACATTAATTGTAATCAATGCAGCAATAAATTCGCTTGGCAGAAATCAACTCAATCCTGTAGTTTATTCCAGTACCCGCTATAGACATTACAGTGCTTGTAACTGCCTGAAAATTAGCACTCATTTCTTAGAAGAACAAGATCTCTAGCTCATAATTTTTTATACCAATGATGGGCTAATGGATCATTTCTATTCAATACTTGGCTAAACATGATAAATGTTCTACATGATGCACTCTAACACATGGCAGCTATAATGCAGGTATGAACTTCCAGATAGCCATCCACTCCTAAAAGGGGTTAGTTTTCTTATTTTCTTTAGGTTTTTAATTTTTCTATACATAAGGCACTCATCTAACTGTCACTTAAAAATTTATAGATGGACAAAAGGGAACCTGATGATCCCAGCCCCTACCTTCTTGCAATATGGACACCTGGTAAGTACCAAGCAGAGGTTAATATTTCAATGGATATCAAATAGGCTTACATGTTTTATTGAATGCTAATTACATTCACTTTTGCAAACACGTATTGCTAGGTGAAACTGCAAATTCAACTGAACCACCTGAGCAAAGATGTGAGTCCCAAGAATTGGGAAAATTATGCAATGAGAAAACATGCTTTTCATGCAATAGTATAAGAGAAGCCAATGCGCAATTGGTCAGAGGAACAATTCTGGTCAGTAGATACATTGTCATCACACTAAATATTGGAAGCATAGAAAGACACAACCATGACCAAGGTTTTTACTAATAGTTGCAGTATAATGTCTACAGATACCTTGTAGAACAGCAACGAGAGGAAGCTTTCCACTAAATGGGACATACTTTCAAGTTAATGAAGTAAAGTCATTCAAGCTATCTGCAAGTCTTTATTGCCATCAAAGTTCAAGCCTTTTCTCCTAGGACTTTCCTTTGATCTCTTCCCTAATTCCTCTAGTTTCTTCCCCTTTTACTACTTTTAACCTTACCTTCTTCTCTACGTCTCTCGTACAATTCATAATTAGATGCTTATAAAATTGCAATGCAAACAGGTCTTTGCAGATCATGAATCAAGCCTCAACCCCGTTGATGTTCCACGAGAATTGATATGGAATCTGCCCAGACGGATTGTATACTTTGGAACTTCCGTATCAACAATATTCAAAGGTAAGCACCTTTACAAGCTTTGGAACATTAACATCACTGTAACAGTGTATTAATAAGTTAAGAGTATAACTTAACAAAATCAATCTATATCTGCTAGGCCTTTCAACAGAGGGAATTCAGTACTGCTTCTGGAAAGGTATGAAATGTTCTTTAATTTGCCCATAATTTTTTCATATTTACTTATCTGTTTGCAACAACATTCTCTGCTCATTGGGCATGTATATATCATATAAATCTACGCAACAACATTCTCTGCACAAAGTGTTTCTCTTTCTCCTCCTTTATGGCCTACCCTTTTCAGCCTAAGTATCATTATCCCTTGTAAAACAAGAAAAAATATCACCAAACATTGCTCTAAATTAATGCGCAGGTCTTTAAACAAATTCTAAATAACTTGATGTCTCCTCGTAAATAGGTCCAGGGATCTAAATATTAATGCTTAAGTAAAAAGATCAAGTACCTGTAATTCATATTATCTTCTTTTCAATGTCATTCCCCAGAATATTGCTGCTAACATGCTGAAAACTACAGTTTAACTACTATTTTAGGTTTTCTTTTTTTCTTTTTTCTTAAAAAAAAAAAAAAAAAAGACACTACGTTGTAGTGTCTTCTCTAGCTAAAGTTGCATTTATCCATGATATCTTCATCATACTTCGGAAATTTCTAACAACCTGACTTTCTGAAATTTATTTGCAGGATTTGTTTGCGTTAGAGGATTTGACCAAAAAATACGAGCACCAAGGCCTCTTCTTGCCAGACTGCATCTTCCGGCAAGTCAGCTGGCCAAAACAAAAACTGAAAATAGAAGATAAGAAGAGCATGAGGCAGCAGCTATCTTTCTGATTGTTACCATAGGTACTAACCAGGCGTACCATACAACAAGGCTAATAATTGCTGACGTAGAAAGAAGCTTTCTTGCTAACATATTATTGTACCCTTCGTTATTCTTTCTCTAACGCAAGACACATTCACCCCATGTTATTGTTAGTTCCTTGGAAAGAAATAAAATCCCATGGGAAGTGGGGTACAAATTGAGCATGCTCAGAAATTGTGATAATTCTTTCAAGTCCTGCTCAACATGGGCCATTCTTCAAAACAAAGCCAATATAAGCCCGTCCTTTGCATCCTCTAACCACATGGACTTGATTGCATGTGTCTGTGTATATGTGAGTTAGTAGAATCATAGAAGCATACCTAATTAATGCATCAAAGAAGAAGAACCAAAGACGCCCTGCTTACTGCCCGCAAAACTACTATTCTTTAGCTGATCTAACCATTTTACTCCTTTCACGAATGGAATTCGAAGAACCTGTCCATGAACTGAACTGTTCACCAAAGAAGAACACGGGATCGAAGTACTAATTCTTATTAAGAACTATACGCACTAAACTCAAAGCAGAGCTAGGAAGATTATAAGCAAAGAGATGAGGCAGAATCAGCCGCAGGGTTGCAGATTACAGCCAAAAAATACACACATCAGACTTTTTTTTTTTTTGGTTCCTTGCGCTGTCATCTTTGGCTTCTAAGCAATAGCATTTATACTTGAAATCTAGCTAGCAAAATCCTCAATAAATTCGGTATAATTTTGATTCATCAGTAAACACAACAGTAAAATGATTTAAAAAGGCAAAAAGGATCTCAGTTGCGTACCGTTTCCTTTCACAACTTGGATCGTTTTCTCGGCAACCAAACAAGCATAAATCGATAGTCTAAAAAACCAGCAAAAATACGAGATCAATGCCTATGGATTACAAGATGCGAAGAGAGAGGAAATCTATCGATTGATTTAAATTAAAATACAAAATAAGAAAATTCAGCAAAAACATTAAATCAAGAAATCAGAAGAAAAATTACCTGAATCGGAAATCGTAGAGGAAAGACGAAGAACGAGAGAAACATAGAGGGAGAAGAGAAGACTCGAGGTGCGTACCGTTTCCTTTCACGCTTTAATGCTTGCTTGGTAGAGTTTTGGCGCCATTTCTTTCGTCTTTCCCTCTCTCTATTTTGATTGGGCTTTGTAAAAAGAACCCAACAGGTTTTCAGTATTCCTGTGCAACCACCGTATGCTGTCAAAACGTGCAAACAGTCCATCTCTTTCCAGTTTCGGATTGGAATATTGGATTTGAATTAGATTATCACCTGCTTGTTTGTTGGTGGTGGTGACTATTTTTTGTCAAAGTCAAAACTATAAGAAATAATGTAAAATTGAATTATCCCACCACCGAATAAAACCATTCAATTCTCTTCACACTGTTAGGGTGATTACGAAATCAAAGATGATCAATTAACAATCTGGAATTATATACAAGCCTGTTCTTCAGTAATTGTTCAAGCTATCAAATACCATTGTGAAATCCTATATGCATTCAGACATAGAAAAGTTTTCTCCAGTTCCTAAGCACAACAGGGATGGTGTCATAGAACTACTTTCAGCAGCATCACTTTCTTCCTTGCTTGGTGCAACCACTACTTTCATAAAGGTTGCTTCATTTGGCTGGTGAGAGTTTTCGACAGCGTTTGAAATTGCCTGCCATTTCTCACCATGTTTTGGTTCTGCAGCAACACATCTTTGCAATACATCCTTCAGATTCTCCTCATTCCCATGTTGAAGTTCAAATTTGTAGTACAATGCCCAAAAACCACTAATATCAGGAGCAAGTGTCACTGCTTGATGGAGATATGATCTAGCCTTGTCCACCTCCCTTTCATAGAACAACTTGGCCACGGCAGCAACCACATGGGGATCTTTCTCAAATTTCGTGAACGCATCTACACTCTTGCTTTTACGCTGTGACCTAGGAACCATATCGATTGCTGCCGCTCACAGTACACCACTATTTGGACACGCCTGTATTGCCTTTGCCATCAAGGTATCAGCTTCCTTCTTATAACCATTGCCTTGATTTAGTCCGGGCAGCAGCAAGCCAGATTTCAGGCTGTTGTGGATTCTTCTTCCTTGCCAGTGTAAGCACAGCACAAGCCTTAGCTATTCCATTCATTTTCTCTTCAAGAATGGAAAGTGAGAGCCAAAGAGGTATACAACTGGGACAATGCTTCAAACCTGACTCATAAGCTCACTTGGCGTTTTCCAATTGACCAAGCCGTTCCTCCAACTGCCCAAGCATCAACCACAATTTAAAGAATGAAAGAATTCGTGTCAACCCTTCATCCAATGATCTTTCTTCTTCAATGTTTCCTAGTTCTCTCTCAACAATGGCCAACTTCATCCACGCTCTTTCTGTACCTCCTCCTTCTAAAGCCTTAGCAACCAGCGTTCTTTCTTGCTCTCTCAAGTTCATGATTCTTAAATTCGAGCTTAAAAGCTGCAAGCCATGTCTCCTCTGAATTGGTATTGCAGCATAAGCTTCTTGAAGAATAGCACGAGCTACAGGCAAAACCCCAGCAAGCCACTTCTCTTCGGCACCCATAAGCCAGAGAACCTCATCCTGTGGCCTATAAGTCACTGCTTTATGCAGGAGAGCATCAAGGGACTCCTTAGTCCCATGGCCTTTTTCAGGTTGAGCTGCTTTCAGCCAAATGCTCTTCTTTGTCAAGAAGACCATAAGAGCATGAGCATAAATAGACCTGGTGGTCTCCATAGAGCCCCTCTTCTTACATTCTACAACATCAGCATCCCAGTTTCTCTTCCTATGTTCTTTCTCCACCCCAATACCAATAGTATTATGAATAATTGCCAGGCAAGTTGCCACATACCCTGCTCTCTCAGCAGCCTCAGCCTCCTTCATCCAAACTTCTCTGTCAATCACCAATCCTTCTCTCTGCAAGGTCCTGATACCCCTCTTAATTATCTTTCCCACGGTAGCAGCAGTTTTTCTATTTGCCTCCTCCAACTTTGCAGCAGAAATCCAGATACCAGGCTCCTTAGACAACTTTTCTCTGGCCTTGTTAAGAACCTTCTTCGCATGTCATATGTTTCCAGCTTTGCAAGAGCTAACCACAACTCCACATGCAACAGACAGCACTCCACTACTCTATGAAGCAACAACCTTGCATCCTCCTCTTTGGCTAGCTCCACAACAGCCTTCCACAGCCTCACCGAATCTGGTATCTGCTCCAAACCCTTCCTCAACACCCTGCTTTTATTCACATCATCATGCTCCAATTTCACACCCTGCAACCTCAGCTTCACTGAATTGGGAACTGACTTCACTCCTCTGGCAATCACCGCTTTTGCATCATCTGGCTTCGCAAGCCTACATGCCTCCAACCACATATCCTCGATCTTTGGATACTCCTCACATCCCTTCTGAATTAACTGCCTTGCAGCCTGTATCTTCCCAACCTCCTCCTCCAACCCAGCAGAAGGAATCCATCCAGGTGGATGCTTATGGTTTGTTTGTATGACACTCTTAAGTAATAACCTCGGCTTCTTAATATGTGAAAGCTCTGCACAACTAGTTTTCTCCATGCTCTTCAAATCAGTCAAGTAACTCTTTGGATCCACCACAGTTATCCCTGAAACAGAATCCGATATCCTATCCAACTTCAATGACAACGCTGTTCCTCTCCCTTCACCCACAGCCGTCTAGTAAATTACCGCTGGTGTTTGGGCCCAAGGGGTTTCCATTCCTCCTGCAGCCAGGCTCTTTGGGTCCAGAACCGTAACATGTTCCTGCTCCTACCTTGCGTTCTCCAGAAAGGTATCTGGAACTGGTACAAAACTCTGGAATCGTTTCTTCTTGTTTCTGATGGAATAATCCCCAATTTCAGGTAAACTTTCCCAGTCCTGGGCAGATAATGTGTAGCGTTTCTGCTTCAAATCCGAAAATTGCTCTGTAATGTTAGGGTTTGAAGCACGATAGTTTTCAGTCTCCCCCTTCAACCTGGCCTCTCTTCGATCTTTCATCCTCGAATCCATCTCCCCAGATTGCGTCCGCTTCCCTGTTATCCTCCCCATATTTTGTAGACGCAAAAAGCCCCCCATCATTACCCTGATAATCGTCAAACTCATCCTCTTCCTCGTCTTCTTCAGGCTTTCCACGGCCACTGCCGGAGGCAGCCACGGTAGATCGATACGGGAGGTCAGATGTGAATAATCGGGCAGGCCCAATATCGGACCGCGTTGTGAATCCAGTGGCACCATGGCGAAGCCCAGCAACATAATTGGGAGGAAGCTTGGAATTCAAGAAATCAAGGCGCGGTTTAGGAGAGCTAGTAAGGAATTGTGATTTGGGGACGATGCTGAATGGATTACAGGAGGGAGGAGAAAGTCTGCTGTATCCCGGATTGGCGAATTTGGGATCGACTTTCCGGTACAGAGTCTTCGAGTTGGGAATCGAGCTGACTGAAAACCACGGATTGGCGCGCGATTTTGCAGTTTTTTCGAAGAGCTTCCTTTTAGTACATGGAAGGAGTAGGGCATGGGCCGCAAAAGTCAGTGATATAGATCGAGAGTCGGTTTGCAAATTAGATATTTTCAAATGGGCATAGCCCATTAAGTTTGGAGCCAGGCCTTCTTTTAAGGGAAAATAACAAAAGAGGAATAGAAAGTAAAAAACGATGAAAAAAAGCTAACACACTTTATGGGAAGTTGCGAACAAGACCCTAAATAAAATAAGGCAGCAAATTCACCCCAAAATTTTGAACAGTAGTCACAAAGTTGAAGTAAATAAAACAACAAATCATATAATTTTTTAAAACTTTATCTTTACAGTAAATATTTTAGAAAATTTTATATTTTTACTTATATTACCCTTAAATAAAAATTAAAAAAAATTAATGATAAAATAATAATTAAAATTTTAAAAAATAATGATAAAATTAAAGTAAACAAATATTTTTTAAAAATTACTATTATTTTGAAACAAATTTTAAGTAGAAAGGTGTCTGTTATTCAGGAAGTATAAGCTAGTCATCACAAGAGGAGTGAAGGCTTATAACATGATCTACCAAAATTAATTTCTCTACGTGTTGGTATGTGTTCCTTATCAATGGTCTACCTTTCGGCTTTTACTTCACTTGTTAACTTAAAAATGACTACTACAATATTATTTTTATTATGTAAAAATTAGAGATTAAACTTTAAATTTATGATTAAGATTCAATTATCTAAATAATTTAGCAGTAATTTTCTTCTACTAAAAATAAAAAATTTTGAATTTGAATCGAGTAGTATATAAGTGGAGTGAAATAAATAATAGAAGAAAGTTGTCTCTCGTTATACAACCAATATAAAAAAAAAAATTATGATTAAGAACATATATGACTTTGTTGCCAAACTACGTGGCTGACGATAAATTATTACTATCATTATTAGTATAATGTCGTCCCTAATCCTAAGAAGTAAGAAATCGAAAGTCGAAACCCAAAATATCCATAGATTTTGTCGTAATTTTCAATTTTTGTTTATTTTTAACAATTATATATGTATGACAATACTATAATTATAATGTTATGTAGAATTGAAGTTTAGAATTAAAATATAATAATAAATAAATAAATGTATATAATATTAAAAATATATTACTAAATAAAAAAATTAATTATTTAATAATAAATTATATTAGAAGCATGTTACATTATTACCATAGCATTTTTTTTCTATGTATATACACGCTTTTTTGGGAAGAAAGTTGGTTTGGGCCTTGGACCCATGGTATGGTCTAGAATTCGAAGCCCAAATAGAAATCTGCACAAACTTACTTACGGTCCGCCCACATGGATGCTGTCACGGCTTACTTCATGTTTCCAGAAAACACGGATCTGGATTCTTAAGTCCAATTCCAACGCGTTATGACTTATGACAATAATAATTCTTTAATAAATTAATTTCTATTTTTCAATAATTGACAGCTCCATCCAGTTCAATAATACAAAAATGATTTTTTATTCCAAAACATAAAAAAAATAAATTGATTTTGAAAAAAATTATATAAACAAATACTTGGGTTTGATTTTTATTATTATATAAATTAATAACAAATAAAAAATAATGCGTCAACCCAAGCACTTTTAAGTTTTGTACTGCAAACAAATAATGTTGTGTGTACTATGTACTAACCATGGGTGCCATTTGTTTTGGTAGTACATATCAATGCATGTTGTTGAAGGAATCTCACCTAAGGCACCTAAATTTGGACCGCCTCCACCTCCCAAGGCTCCACCAAAGATTTTGTGCCATATATATTGGTCTCAGTTTCAAACCATATATAGTGGTCTCCAACACAAACATTTGATACCATCCCCATTTTCCACATTTTATAAAAGTAAAATTAAAATTAAATTAAGCAGGATAAGGATTAGTAATCTCCACGTCTCAACAACGGATAAGAGATGACAATTTAAATTTAAATTTAAAAAACTAAACTCTTTATTTGTATCTTGAATTTTATGGTTAATATTTTTATAATTATTACTTTTAGTTAATTTGTTTAAATTAAAATTTCTAAAAAAATTTAAATTATTAATAAAATCAAAACACAAATGAAAATTTTGATGGTTAATTTTAAATTATAATGAGTGTTGATAAAAAAA